GTCGAAACAGCGGGTGCTCCAGGCTGTCCTGGTGCACCAGGGGCTCCTGGGTTTCCGTTAGGTCCAGGTGGTCCCTTTGGACCAGGCTGACCAGGTTGGGCATCATTTCCTGGAGCTCCAGGTTGTCCGTTTGGTCCAGCATCTCCATCAGGTCCAGGTGGTCCTGGAGGTCCAGGAGGTCCTTGTGGGCATGGCTTGCATGGAGGAGGTGTGACAGGGTCGCATGGCTGCTGTGGTGGGCGTCCTGGGTTACCTGGAAGTCCAGGTGCACCGGGCTTACCTGGGCGACCAGGCTGTCCAGGGGTTCCAGCTGGTCCAGCGGCTCCTGGTAGACAGCAGGAGTCGCAGTTACCACCGGCGCTGGCGGATCCACCACCTACTCCGGCGTCGTAGCCAGCCTGACGGGCGGTTCTGTTTCCGGCGGGGATATTCTTGAGGTGGTTGACTTCGCTCCAAATGTCCCTGGCTGATTCCTTGCAGAAACTGATCTCGTTGTGCATGGTCCTCTTCACGTGATGGACATAATTGTAGACCATTGGCAGGGTGACACAGACCGAAACGACTGCAACAATCGAAAAGGCTACCGCCGAGTAGGCGACAAAGCGGTAAGCCTTGATACGGTGCTCGAGGTCCATGCTGACTGAGAGCAGTGATAGTCAAGGACTTTTTTTGGGTTTTATAGCCTCATTCCAACCACAAACGATGTCTGCGGTCTCTTGATAAATAGCGCTTTCTGCTTTCTGCACTTCGTAGCGTACACGCCCCAATTAAACTATTCCACTCCAACATAACCCGATAACGTTAGCTTAATGTATAGTTATCAAAAATGCGTCGCAATACAATCAAAAAGAGATAAATTCACGTGTTTTAGAATTTAGGATGATAAACTTTATACTGGCTCAATAATATAAGGCTCGATAACAGTCACTCGCCACTTAGTTACTTTCTCTACCCCTACGCTTGAAAGGTCAATGTCGAGATATCTGGGAGAACAACTAAGAGCTGTGTACAGGGTTATGATGTACGCATAACTCAAGGGTTGAATCTGAGAGGCATGAGAGTTTAAGAGCACTGTTGATAATAGAAATGGCTTCTTAGATATCCCGACAAATCTGTCTTCCTCACTCCCTGTGTACTATACATAGGTGACGCTGTTAGCGGCGTAGATAGGGCTTTATAAAGACCTTAAGATTGCCACGTTTGTATGCTCGCACAAGTTTCGATGGTTTTGTAGGGGATTCCCCATTCACAAAGGATCCCATAGAGGAAGTTCAGACAACACGCAATGACCTACGGCGGCAATGGAATGCGGCTCTGAACAGTTTCGGCTTGATGTAGGCAGCTCTCTGAGCTCTTGCAACAACAGTGATCTCGTCCAAATACCTCTTTCATGTCACTTTCGTCATGGTAATCTCTTACAAACTCTATTTTACACTACTTTCAAGGAGCCCTCATTTACACAATTTCGACGAATTTTCTCGCTCCCTTGCCCACCAATGCGCTATTCCTTACCAATACTATTGAGCTTTGAAAGTGTACCTCAAAATTACCGTGCTTGTGCCTTTAATTATTATATGTATGTCGTTCACGTTCCAGACCAATTAATGGAACCATGTTACCAAATATGCAGTAGGGTGAAAAGAACGTTTTGTTTGAAGACTTACACGTCAGAATTTGACCAGAGTCCACCGACCAGACGTTGTTAAGCTCAAGCAGTGACATCGTTCATGCTCGATTTTTTCTGGATGGGAAAATCTTTATTTTCACTGGAAAATTCACTGGAAGCACGAAAGAGTGGCAAATGAGTGCAAGCGTCAGAAAACTAAGTTTATCAAGGGAAAAGGAGTTAGCAATTTTCTCGGGATACATCCGCAGTTTTGTAAATTATGGGTTTAATATTTTTCGTGGCTTACTGTCTACCATACCAATGAGTTTAATTTCATACGGTGACGGATGAAATCAGCAATCTTTCAATATTCTCTGTTCTTGTTTCGAATTGCCTGATCCTGCCCAGCCGTATACGCTGCCAATGCTGGCAGTATATTTTTGTCTAGTTGCTTTGCTGTTGTATAACATGGCCCATATGTTGTTTGCTGTACCTTGCCTTCTTTCCAATCATCGTAGACTTCAGGGAACTTCAGCAGCTACACTGACGGTGGCCTCTCCTGTGATCCCGTTGGAGTGCGATCCATGACCATGACACTCCACGATGGATAGTAAAACATTTCAGAATGCTCGATTAATAATTCTCAGAAAGGATAGACGCGACCTTTCATCTTTTTTGAAATTCTGCAGAAATTCAGAAACGAAGATGCTTGTCCACAGGTCAGCAGTGGAGTGGTGCTACTACTACTGTTTTTCGAACGAACGGGACCAAATCACTGCAGGGCCGAATTTCTTTGAGAATAGTCTCCCTCATTCGTCATTCTGCACCAAATGAGTGGGCTCCTATACAATACATATGTAGTGTGCACTACATATTTTACTTGGGCGACCACTTCTACTCTGCTCCACTTCATTAGAACAGCTAGGAGTACGATCAGTCCCATCCACATAGATTAAGGAATGGAGATTGTAGGTCATACTCATTTGTTCATTTATTCGAATGCACCTAAGGGCGTGCCATTCAACAAAAGCACAAACTCGTAGGCAATGGTCCTATATCAACAACTAAAAAAAGCAGAAAAGGTCAAAGAAAGAAAATGCATGTACTGACCAAACATCAAAAAACTTTTCTTGAGTACAGGTTACACCAAATCTCTCGTTCAGAATGGACTTGGAGCACCGTATCAGTAAATATCCTTTAATCACATTCTCTTTGGTCTCGTTATCTGAGGTCACAGTCATTTCTATCTGCATTACACTGCCGATGTTTTATAAGTACTATACATCCAGAAAAGTACCTCACATGTAAAGAGTCATGCGTCANTCAACAACTAAAAAAAGCAGAAAAGGTCAAAGAAAGAAAATGCATGTACTGACCAAACTTCAGAAAACTTTTCTTGAGTACAGGTTACACCAAATCTCTCGTTCAGGATGGACTTGGAGCACCGTATCAGTGAATATCCTTTAATCACATTCTCTTTGGTCTCGTTATCTGAGGTCACTGTCATTTCTGTCTGCATTACACTGCCGATGTTTTATAAGTACTATACATCCAGAAAAGTACCTCACATGTAAAGAGTCATGCGTCAATTGCAGTTTCAAATAGGATTGACTGACTTCAGTGATAACTCTGTTATTCCACAAGCAGCGGGGGATTATCGCGTGCGATGTCATTGAGCTTTCATGTGGTTTCATTGGCTGGATGACATTGTTCGGTGATTTCAAATTTTTTGTACAACGTGAAACTTTCGAGAGCTTTTTCCCCCACCAAGAAATGAAGAAATCCCTGATATTGAAAGATTCAATGAGCCTCATATCTCATGGCCTTCAGCTGCTGAAGTCCTCTCAGTATCTGTGCATATTCACATAGAAAGGCCTTATGTTTCACCATTCCTCTGAATTCTACATCTCAACAGGTCTTAATGCACACTTCAGCTTATATGGGTCGTGCTTCTACTCGGTAAACCGCCAAACCTGATCGCTACCCTAACTCATCGATTGTTCTCCAACGTTCTATTATGTCATCCATTTTTGTCCGCGGATTCCTGATTTGCTCGGTCTCAGTGATGTGTCAATTTTGACGATGTTGTAATGTCTTAATCTCCTAATTAGCTTTGGTGTTCTCTGAGCTGTTTAGTTCAATCTAGTTGTATTCAACGCGGCATCGCGGATTTGCGCCGACAAACCCACTGTGCCCATTGCCCGCTACGATACCACGATATAACAGTTCCACAATAAGACCTTGAAAATGCATTGCATTGTTCGATCCCCTTAACACTATCTTTGGTGACTGAAGGGTTTGAATGTTATGTTGGAGATGGATAGTAGTTTCCCGGATGAATTTGCAGAACGTCCTATTAATGTCAGAGCAAAGTCTCAAAACTTCTTAATCGAGAGTTCGTTTCTTTAATGGCATGGTAGCATGGAGCAGAAGCAAAAGTTTAACTAACCGCTTTATTGTAACCTTTCAACGGAATGACGCCAAGGACATGCCGTTTGAAAAGACCCATTCGCACAAACATGTATCGCACGTAGGCATAGAGTAAAACGACTATCGGCATGACGCGGGGTCTCGTTATCAAGACACCATCTCCATGCACTACTTCTCGAAGTCGCGGACAGTTTTTATCACTGGTTTCAGTTATGTAGGGCATAATTTGGCTGCTTGTCCTGCCACAATTACCCGACTGAAGGTCTGTGGCAAACTTTGTCGGCGAGGAGGTTCAGACCACAATATTATGTTCATACATTCAACAGTAGCGTTATTACCCGGCAGTACCCTTCATTCGCTCACTACAAGTACCAGTAAAGCTTTCAAATGCAAGAGCGATATGTCTGAGCTTGCCGTCTTACAAGAACGATGCGGGGCTCTAGATGGTCGGCATAAATTACAAAAATGTGCTGAAGAACGAAGCGCTTATAGGGTCATCGATGAAGACGGTAGCGACTACAATTTCAAACCTTGAGAATGAAACCAGTAAAACATTATTAGTTAAGTGATTCATCGAGAGAACAGCTAAGTCTCTGAATTCGCCCTAGTCCAGTGACAGTGAATGAGTCGCTGGATGAATCACTTTCATAAGCGTTCCTACAAGTGGGCAAAGAACGAAAATGTGAAGTGCCACTACCTAGTCCTATAAAGGATTCTTAGGTGAGGCAGTGGTGGAGATATTACGCTGTTGCCGTTTTGTTTTTGACCCAGTTATCTCACTCAATTCTTCAAGTACTAAAGATAAATCATTAAGTTCAGCCTAATTGGACCGCTGAATGTGAAGACCTTGGGCTTTCACATTCCTAAAAAACGCGAAGACAGCTATCCGTAGACGACGCACCGAACAAAGACTAAATTTGACACACGCCGGTTGGGAAACCGCGTCGTTGAGTTCTTCAAGGCTTCAAGGGAGTGAGTGAGCTATGACTGTTTCTGCGATTGTGACTGGGACTGGCTCGTCAACCACTAGCAAACAGGTGGCTTGTTCTGAACTTTGCGTTATAGAACTCCCAATAGAGTCGTTCTAAGTTTTCAATAAATAAAGCATCGAGATGGTGGTTAAGGCAACGGGTCTCATTTGGCTTAAAACGTGGCTTTTCTAGTCGTTTCCACTCTTTTTGCTCAAGATGATATCATTTGCTCATCTTGCGTTCCTTTCCTTCCGCTCTTACAGAGCAGCGGACAGTCGCTGTGAGAATACATATGTAGATGCACTTTTCTTTCTAGGACACTGTCAATTTTAGAACATTGATCTATTGAACTGTCCCTGAGAGCTTCGAGAGGGCGCCCACGAAAGCCTTGAGACAGCGATGAAGGTCAACCTGGTCGGTTGATTTTCATCGCTATTTCAAGGCTTTCGTGGGTGATTCCGCGGATGGAAAAAACCGGTGTCGCCATCGGCAAAGGCCGCGCATAGTGCACCACACCTTTTGATGATCGGGTCGGCATCCTTAACTCGCTGAATGGCACGTCACTCCGAGAAGGGGCCGAGGAATGTTCACTAAAATTGCTGCTGACTGATTGTGAGAATAATCTCGACTGTGTTACACTTGTTACAGCACTTGTTATCTTTTAACATTAACTAATCAGACAGATTTGAACAGACGTATTTGACACCTTTTCTGGTCAATCTTGATGAACAAACACTTTTTCACATAGCGAAGCCTGCAAGTATGTACCAGCGTGGACTTAATTCACACGTCCAAATCTAGGCATCAAGGTGTTCTACTCAAAGAATGGATTTGTTTCCCTCTAGAGGAGGTGAGAAATGTCTGAAGGTACATGAAGAGATCGCTATTCTTGTATCTTGGAGGGTCTTGGTAACGAAACGAGACTACTTGCATTTTTGGACTTCATGGGAGCACCCTCGATTCTTAGGTTGTTTGTTTTTCAGGATTTTTGTAGAAAGCGAGGCCATGAGTATTGCACAAGAAACAATGCAAAAGCTGTGGAGCTCCCAAGGCTCTCTCACTGATACCTCTCAATGCGAAAGATCACCGATCCATTAAGTCAGAGACCTTGGACTCGAAATAAACTATCTTTTTGCACCAAGGCCAACGTCAAGGAACTCTAGGTGGTCCTTCTCGTCGCAAAGTGCCCCTGGCACTCACAGTCTAGATGGAGAGGGCCCCTACTACGAGAATGTTTCTTACAATGACGACCGAAAAATAGTCGCCCACGCGTAAAGCAGTTTATATGCTGATGACATCATCGAAAATTAGCACGGTTCCGACTGATTGACTTGAAAATTATTAGGTTGATGCATTATTATTGCGGATTTTTTCGCGGCTTTTTTTCTCACGATAGAATTTGCATATTGAGTTCGACTTTTTTCTAGAAATGATCTACTTGATTTCCTCTACAAGAATTTACTCAAAAAAACCATCCGCATATTCGCGGAATTAGGCTTAACTACTTCGAGAAAGA